TTGAAAATCGTGGACACATATTTTCGAAAAAATTACAAGGTTAGTATAACAACCCCAGGTTCGATCGAAAAAAAAAATAAACAAACGTAGTTGTGGCCAAACATATGTGATCGTCATAAGGAATACCTACGTGGTATACATCTATGTTAATTGACCGGAAGGCGCTGGCTACTAACTTTAAAGTGGGGAAGTATGGTTTGATTTTATAAAACAAAAGCAGAGTAAATACACCTAACTTTATTATTTACGTAGCACAGGCTTCAAATTAAACAAGTGACACATAGAAAGAACTACAGAAACATTAACAACCATTTAACATAAAATGAGAGTGTCAGGCTCACCTAGAGCTCCTGTGGGGAAAGAGCANTTTCGAAAAAATTACAAGGTTAGTATAACAACCCCGGGTTCGAAAAAAAAATAAACAAACGTAGTTGTGGCCAAAAATATGTGATCGTCATAAGGAATACCTACGTGGTATACATCTATGTTAATTGACCGGAAGGCGCTGGCTACTAACTTTAAAGTGGGGAAGTATGGTTTGATTTTATAAAACAAAAGCAGAGTAAATACACCTAACTTTATTATTTACGTAGCACAGGCTTCAAATTAAACAAGTGACACATAGAAAGAACTACAGAAACATTAACAACCATTTAACATAAAATGAGAGTGTCAGGCTCACCTAGAGCTCCTGTGGGGAAAGAGCATGGCAGAGAAACCCACGATCGTTGCTCTAACCACCCAAATATAAATACAAAACAACCGCTAACAAAAGGCATACATTAAGAACCTTTGCTAATGATAAATAACACCCGACTTATTTAATGTCTCACTAAATGTCATCTCACTCGAATTAGACATACACACTTCCAAGTAAAACTGAAGAGGTTATAATAATGATAATGACAATGACAATGACAATGACAATGACAATGACAAGGACAAGGACAATGACAACGACAATGACAACGACAACGACAACGACAATACCAATACCAATACCAAAATACCAATACCAAAATACGACAATGACAATGACAATGACAATGACAATGACAATGACAATGACAATGACAATGACAATGACAATGACAATGACAATGACAATGACAATGACAATGACAATGACAATGACAATGACAATGACAATGACAATGACAATGACAATGACAATGACAATGACAATGACAATGACAATGACAATGACAATGACAATGACAATGACAATGACAATGACAATGACAATGACAATGACAATGACAATGACAATGACAATGACAATGACAATGACAATGACAATGACAATGACAATGACAATGACAATGACAATGACAATGACAATGACAATGACAATGACAATGACAATGACAATGACAATGACAATGACAATGACAATGACAATGACAATGACAATGACAATGACAATGACAATGACAATGACAATGACAATGACAATGACAATGACAATGACAATGACNAATAATAATAATAATAATAATAATAATAATAATAATAATAATAATAAGTAAGAATAAGTAAGGTACTGGAGTCCCATACGGGAGACAATCCAGAGCAATTCTTTTTTGTATTTAATTATTCTTTTTACAGATTCATTTCTCACGGGCGAAAATGTTAGTAAATTCAACAGGGCTCTTATATGCGTATGACAGAAAGTGAGCACAAGAAGTCAAAGAACAACGTAATCATGATAAAACGAGTTAAATGTGAAACAAAGGAGTTGTTATTGCAATATCCGGGCAGTCACGACAATACATACATATTTTAACATGTAATAAATAATGAGCAATTCTTTAATAATAATTGTAACAATTTTATGTTAGAAAAATATACGCCCCTGAGCATAAGACAATGAAGGCTAAACATATACAGAATTATTATTATGAAACGTCTATAATCATCACAATCATAAGATTACATAGAACAATTAACAACAATGTACTTAGAGAGTAATTACCTGCTAATTAATACCGGTTAAACACTTGTTTTTCACTACTTTTGACACACTGCCCGCAGATCGTCTTACTACCTATCTCCACACTGTTCTCACTTCATCTATTTTGGCTTCCTTTCAGAACCTAAGCGTTTGTTTTTTGCGCTTCCTTCTACCAACTGTCAATATTACTTTTTCATTATTGTACAACACTCATGTAACAGGTGACGTCGAAGTTGATACGATAAGTATGGTTTTTCACAGGACTAATCATAAAGTTTATTTTATTTTATTTTAATATTAGAAACAAACAGGTTAGAAACAACCTAATTACATGTTTCTAGGAAAAAGAAAAAGAAATGTATAAACATGCACATACCTATCTAACTTACCTAATTAAAATACAAAATAAAATTCAAAATAAACTGCAGCAAGGGAGCAGCCGGGCAAATAGAACCAGGACAATCAATTTCAAGTAAAATCTATATTACGGATAACTCTATTAAATGTTATTAATGTAGTATCAAAAATGTCTATAGATATTCTATGTCTGTGTCTATTGAAAATATTACACATATCACTAATAAGAGTACTAGAACTGACATAAAAAATTAATTGTGTTGGACGTATACGGTGGTCAGGTATATTTAAATTTATCTGTGACAATAGATAAGGAGCGTCATAACCTCCATTCAGCACTTTATGTAAAAATGTTAATTTTCGGGCAATTCTTCTATTTTCTAACTTACAGATCTTAAACTGTTTTCGCAATGGCTCATAGGAAGCAAATCCGGGACTAATATGATATTTTTTGTAATAAAGATACTTTATAAATTTGTTTTGGATTTTTTCAAGAGCATCCCTAAGATACTGTTTTGAAGGGTCCCAAATAATAGATCCATATTCTAAACGACTACGAATAAGAGTATTAAATAAATATAAAATAGAATTAATATTTTTAAAATCAACTGTTACTCTTTTAATGAAACCCAAAAGTTTATATGAAGCATTAGTTAATTCATTCACATGGTTTTTAAAACTCAAATTAGGTTGAAAGTTAATTCCTAGATCTTTAAAGTCATAAATTCTAGACAAAATATTGTTATTCATTGTATAAACATAATGTTCAGGCGTACGTGCTTTACTAAANGTTTCAATTTAATTTTTATTTCTTTTGTAAACCAAGGTGGGTATGTTTTCCTACATTTATCAATAATTTTTTTATATTTTGGAACACAAATATCTAAAATTTCATAAAATTTCAAATAGAAATATCCTACGGCATCATCAACATCAGAAAAATAATTCAACCTTTCCCAGTTGCAATTATTAAGTAATTCGTACAATAATGTAAAGTTAGCTTGTTTAAAGTTATACTTATCTGCTAAATTATTGTTATTTTTTTCCAAATACTTCAATTTAGTAATATTAATTTCGGCCAATAAAGGAGGATGTTTCCTATCAATATTAACAAGAGGTACTAATTCTTCTTTAATTGAAACTGGTGAATTGGCAAATACTAAATCTAAAGTTTTCCGATCCTCATTAAGACGATTATTAAAAGATTTTAAATTATACATACTTAATAATTCACCTATGTAAGTCACGGATCTGCTGTCATTATGAAATGTAAACTGTGTGCCAAATACATAAGGTAAATTAAAATCTCCAAATATAATTAAGTTTGTATTTAAATTAAAATCCTCATCTATAATTTCGTATATATCAACGTAATCTTTAAAAAATTGAGAATTTGACTGTGGTGCCATATACGTACAGTTAAAAATAAAAGAATTACCCTATATTAACCTTAACAAACAATGTTTCTAAATAAGTTAACAGTATTAAATCATAGTTTTCTGATACTAAATTTCTGTAAAAATTAATTGTCTTGGTTCTAAGTCCCCTGCAGTTTTGATAATAAATTCTAAGAGTGTTCAGGTTAATCACTATTTCAACAGATTTCCTCTAGCTTTCATTAGTTAGGTATACAAAGCTACATAAACTTATCTAAACCAATGCATCGCATCTGATTAGAAATTATATAGAATCATTTAGATATCACCTTCTAAAAAGAAAAGTATAACAAATATAACTGATTCCTATTAATTTAACCATAACAATGAGATCTAACTATACAAAAAAAAGAAAAAGTATGTATATGTACACATCAATATACTAAGATATCTAATAACTACAATCAAATTTGTTTTAATCAACGAATTATCAAAACTTTTGATTAATAATTAATTAAGATAATTTAACAGTTTCATTAGCAAAAAAGAATACTGAATAGTAAATGCCTGCAGACCAGGAAAAAAAAACAGCAAAAAAAAAAAAACACATGTAAACATCTAAATACCATATAGTACCAGGAAAGTTTTTATACAAAGAAATTTCTAGTTGTACCACATTAATAAAGTTATAGATCATTTTCTGAATTTATCGTAAGTTATCCATAAAGCGAAAAAAGGACCTAGAATGGTACAAAATACGATTTTTTTATATTTTTAAATATCTACAAGATGAGTTTAGTAATTTGATTGAAATATGGGTTGTGAAAAAGATTTTAAATAATACACAACTTAACATTAAAAACATATTGGTAATATCAAGCTAGCGCACATGGGCTGGCACTGTAATACTTCAAATGAAGCTGATGATGGCCATTTTCACTTTTCTGTGATTTTATGCGAATTAATTTAAAATCATTAATCAGGACAAGCATTAATGTCATTAATATGAAAAGACAAGTAACGCTGATCTTAGTTAGTACCTACTTCAATGGGTGACAGTGCGGGGAAGGCACACGATGCTCGTATCGCCCACCCTCTAGTGGCCTGTATGTCGCTGTATTCACAAAAACTATAAAAATTTAGGTGAGATTTGTATAATAAGACTTATCATCCCTGGGAAAGGATGTAAAACTGTTGGTTCCTTGTCTAAACATTGTTAGGCAAGTAAAAGATCCCTACCCTGTGACAAAGTGGGGGAAAAATTTTCAGTTGGGGGCTCGTCGTCTGAAATAGACCGATGTAAAATAACCAAAATGGAAAAGAAGAAAAGGGACAACGGTAAAATTAAATAAGTATAAAAATATAACTTTTATTAGATATTTGACACGTTACATGACAGCGCTAACACCCCCAAAATTTTGAGTAATTGACAAAAAAAACAGTGAAAAATCACTGAAAATCACGTTAGTGAGTCCAAAAAAAACTCGAAAAAATTTGTTCTGAACTTCATCAAGTCGGTTTGTTATGTATTTTGATGTGCTAAATCCAAATCTGACGTCATTTAAACTGCATTCCCCCCAGATTTTGCAAAACTCGCAAAATAATAACGAAAAATCGCCAAAAATCACATTCGTGAGCGCAAAAAAATTCGAAAATTCTTTTTCTGACCATGATCAAGTGTGCTTCTTATGTAGTTTGATACGCTGAAATCGATCTGAAGTCTATTAGCTGCATTTCCCACAGATTTTGCAAAAAAATTGCTGAAAATGGTAAAAAATCAAATTAATGAGAGTGAGAACATTTTGGAAGAGGTTTTCTGGATTGGATCAAGTGTTCTTCTCATAAATTTTGTCGAGTTGAATTCGAATTTAAAGTCTGTTGAGTCTCATTACCCAAAATTTTGCAAAAATCGCAAAATATCGCAAAAATGGAAATCCCAAAAAATCTTGAATAAATGATATGGATATGAGTTACTAATAAATTCGACTTACTCGAACCAGGCTTTCTTTGATGTTGCTCTTCTTTTCTTCTCTTGTAGCGAATTCTTTTCTCTTCGAATGACCAATCCAGCGGGTTTTTCTTTCTCTTCTATCTATTCTGATTCGTTTCTCCCATCAGTGTTCAACAGAAATCTGCCACCATGTTGATATCCCATCTTCCTTGGTATTGATTCTCTATTTCCCTTATATCTTGATGTAATCTTTCTCATTGTTCTTCACTGTAGTCTCCAAGGTTTTGAAGAAAGTAGTCAAAGTGAGAGTATAGGAAGTGCAATTTAAGATTCATCAAGCAACTTAACTGTTTGAAATTTGTCAACATCTCTTTAACTAAATTTTCGTAAGCTTCACTCTTATCATTTCCTAAAAAGTTCCGAGAGATATTTTTGAAACTTTGCCATGATGCTTTTTCAGTGTCATTCATCCTTGTAATGAAATTTTCGTTTCGAAAAATAGTACGAATTTGCGGACCATTAAAATACCTACTTTCAATTTCGCATCATTTATCGCTAGAAACTTTTCTCTTAAAAATTGAAACGAATCAGAATAGACAGAAGAGGAAGAGAAACCCGCTGCATAAGTCATTCGATGAGAAAAGAGTTCGCTACAAGAGAGGTCAGTGTAAGACCAACATCAAAGAAAGCCTGGTTCGAGTCAGTCGAATTTATTTGGAAGTAATTCATATCCATGTCATTTCAAGATTTTTTAGGATTCACGATTTCCATTTTTCTTGCGATATTTTGCGATTTTTGAAAAATATTTGGGTAATGAGGCTCAACAGACTTTAGATTCAAATTCAACTCGACAAAATTTATGAGAACACTTGATCCAATTTAGAAAACCGCTTTTTAAATTTTCTCACTCTCATTAATATGATTTTTTGTCATTTTCAGTTATTTTTTGCGCATTTTTTCAATATCTGTGGGAGATACTGTTAATAGACTTCAGAAACGAATTCAGCGTATTAAAATACATAAAAAACACACACTTGACCGAGGTCAGAAAAAACTATTCGAATTTTTTTCTGCTCACCAACGTGATTTTTCGGTATTTTTTTGTGATGTTTCGCAATTATTTTGCAATTTTTGCGAAATCTGGAGGGGACGCAGCTTAAAAGACTTCAAATTTGGAAACAGCACATCAAAATACATAAGAAACCCACTGTATCAAGTTCAGATCTATTTTTTTCCAATTTTTTTCATTCACTAATATGATTCTCGGCAATTTTTCACTATTTTTGGTGATTTTTCGTTATTATTTTTCGATTTTTGCAAAATCTGGATGGGGGGTGTTATAAATCAAGCGACTGTCTGAGAGATACTAAGTTTTATTCGAATTCCTTTTTCAGTTCAGTACAAGGATACTTTTTATATTATTCAATATTATAAGTAAATACCAACTTAATTCATGACATCTCCCTTTTTTATTTAAAATTGCTATATTACTTAAATGTGGCATACATTCAATATAAATAACTAATAACTAAGATCTAACAAAACTTATAACTAGGAATAAACTAATCTATCAGGTTTTATAATTTTTCTGCCATATCTAGAATTTTGAGATAAACAAATATTTTCAGGACTTGATTCCACAACACTTTCCTGATCGGTGTCACTTATGTAAATTATGTCATCATCACATTGATTTTCACTAGAACTCGGTACAGGTTCGATAAACCTACGATTTCTTATTACATTAGTACCATTATTGTTTTGTATAACATATGATCTATTTCTTTGTCTGTTAATAACTTTACCAAATTTCCATTGTGATTTTAACTTATCTTGATATCTAATACCTTGATTAATATATAACGGAACTCTATCTTTAGAATTTTTATTGTAAATATTTTTTTGTTTTTGTCGACTGGTTTTTATTCTCTTGTTATACTTCTGAAAAGGTATATGTCTAGGTTTAAGATAACTTTGTGTTGTTGGTAAAATATCTCTTAAATGACGTGACATAAGAAGTTCNTCAGTTACAAATTGTTCAATTGTCTCATTTATTAACTGTTTACGAGTAAAAAATTTAAACCTTTCGTACGATAAATTCCTTTTAGGCAAAAAATGGTTGTCAAACTTTTTTAGAATCACATTAATTTTGTTTCTATCTTCGTCATTCACATATGTAAAGGTATTATAAATATTAAAACCTTCTTCTCCTATGTAGTGTAAAAGTTGTGCAATTTGAATTTTTTCATCTTTCCTTGTTATTTCTGATGCCACCATATAATTTTCAAATTTTTGTTTCCATAGCTTCCAATTCTCAGATAAATTTCCTGAGAAATCCATAGGAGCTATACCACGATAATCAGAAAAAACACTCATTTTAATTGTTTATAATGTCCACAAACTGGTATCACTTTTTATACTATTTTAATTTTTATAACTTTTAAGCCTCTACCGGCTGCGCCATGTTATAAATCAAGCGACTGTCTGAGAGATACTAAGTTTTACTCGAATTCCTTTTTCAGTTCAGTACAAGGATACTTTTTATACTATTCAATATTATAAGTAAATACCAACTTAATTCATGACAGGGGGATGCAGCGAAAAAGACTCCAAATTTGTAATCGCCACATCTAAATAGATAAGAAACCCACTTTATCAAGTTGAGAACAAATTTTTTCTCAATTACTCAAAATTTTGGGGGTGTTTGAGCTAAATGGACTTCACACTTTGAGCAAGTCAAAATAAATGCAGCCTATTGGGTCAAATCAAACTTTTTTTTTGTGTGCTGGTATTATTATAGGGAACTTTTTGATCGCTCTTGTGTATGCTTCCTAGGATATAACTGGTTTTTGCCGTATTTTGTTATGTTACAAGACATCGGTATATATATAATAAAAAAAAACTGACATATTTATATCAAATAGGAATAAAGTACTATATACTAGATGGTTAAAATTAATTTTAATTTGCTCCCATTCCACGGAATATTGTGATGCCATATGTACATCCTGCAATATGACAGTGCCTTTATTTAATATTATTAAACATCATTAAATTACAGTTTTTGTCAAAACTTTCTTATAATTTAAATCTTTTTTGATATTGAACACATTTAAAATTAAAATCCTAGTTACAATATTTATCTTAAACCTTACATTGTTAAGATTAATAAAAACATTTAAATTATCTGAAAACTATAAAAGTGTAATCTAGTACTGTAATATTTAAGAAATACCTCTTATCTTCTTATACAAAATTTTCCATATAATGGGCGGTAGTTTCCATGTGGATTCAACGATTTTGTTTGAAACTTTGAAATGTTAATCTACTGTGAATTTTGTGAGACCCTTATTTTTTTGTTTTTCAGAAAAAAATTTTTAGAACTCTGTGGCGCCATGACAAAAATTTACATCGTAACAGTTATTCCAAAAATGAAAATGCATATTTTTTTCAAGTGGCTGTCATTTTGACTCAAATCATCCTATAGAAACTTATTCTTCAAAATGACAGCCACTTGGAAAAATGTACCTATTTTCGAAACCTTATCTCCCGAACAGAGCAAGTTGGCATATCGCCGCTTAGATAGCTTATTTGGCTTTGAAAAACATATCCAAATTTGGTGAAATTAAAAGGTGGGGTTTTTGAGAAAATTAATTTTGAAAAAAATGACTCCGTTTTTCCCATTTATCTCAGAAAGTTTTAAAGCACTTTGAATTCTGAAAGAAACAGGTAAGTTGATAAAATTCTGCACATTCTGAATAAAAAACATCGATAGAACGATTTGGATCAAAATGAATGCCACTTGAAAAAAAAAATGCAATATCAAAACCGTTTCTCCCGAATGGAGTAAGTTGGCATATTGCCCCTTGGGTAAAAGATAGGTTATTTGGCCTTGAAAAAAGTGTCCAAATTTGGTGAAAATAAAAGGTGAAGTTTTTGAGAAAATCAATTTTGAAAAAAAATTTTTTTTCCGTTTTTTTCATTTATTTCAATAAGTTTTAAAGCAATTTGAATTCTGAAAACAAACAAGTTAAAAGCTGTTGAAATTTTGCACATTTTGAAAAAAGAAACGTTTCCATAGGATGATTTGGGTCAAAATGACGACCACCTGAAAATAATATGAATGTAAACTTTGACATGGCGCCACAGAGCTCCAAACATTTTTTTCAGAAAAACAAAAAAACACGGGTCATTCTTTCACAGGTAATTCAAAGTAGATTAATATCCCAAAGTTTCAAAAAAATCTAAGAGGTCGATTTTTTTTGTTCGTTGAATCATATGGAAATTACCCGGTACTATTTGCTTTATTATCGACAAAATTAAAACAATTTTTGACGTGTGGGTTACTGAAATGTATCACTTTCTTTTTATGCAACACCATATTCTCTTTAATGAAACAATTAATGTATTCTATTGTTTACGATTTGTTGTTTACAGTGAAATACTTGAGAGAAGTTACACCTTACTTTCGCAAAGCAAGTATTATATCAGAAGTTGGTTGGGAATTGCAACGAGGGTTTCTTTCCGGAGCACCCCCCGCGGTCAGATCTCCACAACGAGCCGATACTCGCTATCTACCACTACAACTTTGTCATCTGGCAAGAAATTTTAGGTATCCTGACCCTGGTAAGTTCCTTAATTATTTACTGTTTCAAGTTACAGGTACAGGTAAATTTTAATAACTTTAATATGAAAATAAACAGCTTTAAAATATAAATATTTTATTTATTACAACGTGTACGAAGAATCACGTATCTCTGAAGATGTATAATGATTAACTATAACTAATTAAATATAAAAATTGAGGTAAAAGTTCACTGAATTGGGCTGAAGTAATTAAGCAATGGTGAAGTAAAGTAAGATTTCTGCATATGCATGATTCTGATCAATGATTACATCACTTGTGATTGGTAAAGTGTTTTATTCACAGTAAATTACTATTGTGCAGCTAATTGTGGTTCATAAATAGGATTATTGATACTGTCACAACTATACTCTGTTTGGAAATGAAAGAGAGTAATAAAACCCCGAGATAAGAACCGGCCATGGGCCCGGTAATATTTCGTTTCAGGTAATTATCGGGTAACACTAATGCTAACAAAAATGACAGGGATTGGAAAATAGACTATCTACAGACTTTTAAAGGAAACAACAAATGAACAAGATACTGTAAATCCCTCAAAATCATCTACAGGGAGGTCAAAAGTCGTTATAGATGATTTCTTCAACAATGTCATTCGCAGAAAAGTACACTCATTTTATTTTAAAAAAGAAATACCAACGCTAAACAAAATTTTAAGTGAACTTTCAGAGGACAACGATTTGCCAAAAATCAGTAGAAGCAAATTATGGGCCGTCTTACGAGAGTTGAATTTTTGCTGGGAAAAGCAGAACAGGAAGTCAGTTCTTATCGATAAAGATGAAATTATTTGTTGGCGAAGATCCTACTTAAGATCAATTAGAAAATTCCGTGACGAAGGGAGGAATATTTATTATCTAGACGAAACTTGGGTCAACGAGGGATATACTGTAACAAAAGTATGGCAAGATAAAAATGTAAAAAGTTTTCGACAAGCATTTTTGGATGGACTTTCAACAGGGTTCAAGGCACCTTCAGGTAAAGGGCGAAGATTAATAGTGACACATATAGGTAGTGCCAGTGGTTTTGTAGATGGCGGTTTACTTTTATTTGAATCTAAAAATACAGGTGACTATCACGAAGACATGAACGCAGATGTTTTCGAAGAGTATTTTACACAGATGTTGGATCTTATTCCTCCGGGGTCTGTAATTGTCATGGATAATGCCAGTTACCATTCACGGCAGACCGAGCGGACGCCTACGACTGCTTGGAGGAAAGCCGATATAATTCAATGGTTATCCGGAAAAAACATTTCTTTTGAAACAAATATGGTGAAAAAGGAACTTTTGACACTTGTCAATCTTAATAAAGATCAGAAAAAATATGTTATCGATGAAATGGCAACAAATCGCCAAATAACGGTACTACGGTTACCACCTTATCACTGTGAACTTAACCCAATCGAATTAGTCTGGGCGCAGGTAAAAGGAGATGTAGCGCGAAATAATACGACGTTTAAATTAAGTGACGTGAAAATTTTGTTAAAAAATTCCTTGGAACGAGTAACTGCAGATAACTGGCAAAGATGTATACATCATGTACAAAAAGAAGAGGAGAAAATGTGGGAACTCGATAATTTAATTGACGTTACTGTGGAACCTATCGTTATCAATCTAGGAGACGAAGATAATTCATCAGAATATTCAGAGGATGAATTTTAATATACCTACTTTTTTATTTTCTTTATTGTACATTTATACAACACTACATTTACTCACCATAATTTGAATTTTCAAAATACATATATTTTTGTGTGGAATAAAAGTCTATTCATTAAATTTAAATAAATATTTTGATAATAATATTGAATAATTTTATTTGAATTACTAAAAACCCTCTTAACCCGGTTATGATGCTTAAAGTAGCCTCATGTTTTGAAATGCTGTTTTTATATTGTTTACTTATAAGAGAAATGGACCGAGAAATTGAAGCGGCATAGACAAAGACGGATTGTCGGGGATTAAATTTTAGCTACCTGCTACAATTTAGTACAGTCCGATCGCACAAAGTTTTTTTAAAAGTACACCTCATCTATACCGAAACTACATAATATAAAAATATTGAATATAAGCACTAGTACTACATTTATTTACGATTTGCATACATAATAAGCTTTTAATACTCTCTTTCATTTCTAAACAGACTATAAACGGATTACAGTACTCAGTGGCGTAGATCCCTGCCACAAGTAAGCATATTGCTGTGATAAGCGAACTGTTCCTTTTTCCCCACCAATTTACGTCACGAAAAGGGGCAAAGTGTTCCGATGAAAAACATCGTCAATATAATTTTAAGTCCGCGTCATAAATCATTGTGCTGGTGTAGTGCACACTTCGTGATTTCTTTTGTGGGTGCGTAGTTTTCAATATTATGAAAAACAATGCTAATGAGGAGTGTTTTTTTTACTAAGATATAATTATTATTCTTTGTTTTTTCCATCTATCTTTTGTAAAACTAATGGTTAGAGTGTGTTAGTTAGCTTACTGGAATGCATATAAATGATATATGTATTTGAAACGCATATCCTTTATATTATACAGGGTGAATCACAACTTATCCAAAAAAAATTGGGAATAGATGCGGCATGAGAAATGGAGTCAATATTGTAAAAAAAAGTTGTAAAATCCTTACAGTTTCCGAGAAAAAAATTATTGAAGTTGTAGTGCTTTTAACCATTACATAGCTGGACAACTGTATTCTCTAGCGTCATTCGTAATACGCGTGGAGAGCCACGTGGCCTCAGCGACTCAGAATACTGAAATCCGATGTTTACAATAATTTTTTAGTAGTTAGTGTCAAAAATGGCTTGCGTGTATAACAACTCGGAGTTGATGAATATCGTTTTAGTTTATGGTGAAGCAAGAAAACATTTGTATTATGGTGAAGCATTTGTTATGGTGAAACTAGACAGCATTTGTGTTAGTTCGTAGAAACTGAGTAAGACGGACCCAAATGTGTTTACAAGTCGGTGGACAAAATTTTGAACAGTTGTAACATTTGGTATGTCAAATTATTTTATTATTTAAAACCACAAATGAACTTTATTAATTAATAATAACAATAGCGGCAAAATCAGTTGAGTTTGCTGATATAAAATAGGTGCTATTACATTCTTCTTTTATTCTTTTCCTTGCCATAATTCTTTGAAGTTTTTTGCCCGTTTTTATCACTGCCGCCATGACGGTCGCATTGTAGTCCGGTCAATCTAGACATTCAAAGATACATAAATGTACAACAAGCTGAAAGTGAGTAAAGTTGTTCAAAACATAATTAAAAATAGCATATTAAAATTCCTCATCGTTCCGGTACTCGGAAAATAATTTACTCGAGGTCAAAGGTAAAAAAAATGGGTTTTTCGCGATTTTCAGCTAAACGGTAAGTTTTATCATAAAATTACAGACAAATTGTAGTTCATAAAATTATCTATAAAAAATTTATCAATACTTTTTTCCTAAGAGTCACCGTTTCTGAGATAATATAACGATTCAAAAAGTTGTAAAAGTTGTCATAATAAGCACACGTTTCCACGCCACCTATGAGGTAGTGTACTTGTAGTGCGTTTTTTAACGTAGTTTCCCCAGTAGGCCTATTCCACAGGTCTGTTGTGATTCTGTTTAGTTTGAAACTATTGCATAATAACAGATATTAGCAAGGGTTGGAAATGATAAAAGCGATGGAAATTAAAAAAAAGTAGAATTTTTTCGTCTGATTCATAACCTTCAAATACTTCTTCTTGCTCTTCTTCTTCTTCATTCTGGGTGTAAGTAAATTGCGTCAATAGTGATGTATCGCATGTCTCCTCGTTGGTATCAAACGAATCATCTACTGTTGGTGATTCAACAGTAGTACACGACCGGCCTTGACAATTTTACCTGATATTCTCATAGGTATACTTATGTATATTTTATATTTTAAGTGTAAGTTACAATCACCGATGGAAAAATATTTTTACTTATATTACAATTTCAGAGATGTATATACGTGGCGTACTTATGCATATTATGACGATTACAACTTTTACAACTTTTTGAATCGTTATATCTCAGAAACGGTGGCTCTTAGGAAAAAA